ACATACACACACACACACACACACACACACACACACACACACACAATATACTTGTAATAAAATAAATATATTTAAAATAGTTAATACAGTGAACATCATAGCTGTATGTTAATAAAATCCATATTAAACTTGATTATTTGCAAAAGATATAACAAATGCAAATTAGTAGAATGTTGAGACAAACTAAGTAAAACTAAACTGAGAGGTTAGCCGTAGATTTAAAGGCTAACTGTAATTCTGTGGATGTTTAATTTTGTGCTTGATATATTTACCTAGTATATTAAAGTATACGTTAGGCAAAGCATTGAGCTACCACAACCCGCGTCATTCTGTGGCTTGGAGGTAGAGCGAAATAGCATAAACATAATGACGGAACATAATGAACATAATTCATGCATTTATTTTTAAGAACAATATTGGTTTCCTGAGCTTAGGTATATAAAATTATTTGTCCATATAAAAAATGGATATCATAAATTTTTAATTTTCCTTTTTTCAAACATTTACTTATATTTCCAAATAAGAAATATAAATAAATATTATAAATATTAATCACATTTCTACAATTTTAGAATAATAGGCAATCTCTGTTTTTGTCTATCACAAAAAAATTAAACATGCATAATTGATGTTCAATTCAATGTTATAAATATTATTAACAAAATAAGATACTATAAAAATATAAAAATTATAACATGCATAAAAATCAGACACTTAAAAAGAACATCTGAAGTATTGCGAAAAAGTTTATATTTTTCACAGAAGTTGTCACTAAGGAACTATTAAAAGTGATATAGTTCATTTAACTTTTATGTTAAAATTTTACGTAGAAATTCTTCTTCCTACGCTATAGCGTCGTTAGACAGATTATCCTTCTCTAGAAAATATTACATTCTGCTCCTTGAACTGTAATCGAAAAATAGCTGCTCTAATTCGCAGAAGCGGAAGAGTGTACTTTTGTTTTGCTTGTTGCTATTATTGCAAAAAATATAAAATATAAAGACAATACATTATAAATGTCGAGCTCAAAAAAGCATTATTAAAGTCAGCAAGATATCGCAAGTATATAATGCCAGTGGTAATTATCTAGTTACATGAGCTAGTTTTTTTTAAGATTTCATAATTTATAAGAAATGTTCCATTTCTAAGAACTGTTTTTTACTTTTTAATAATCTGTCAGGTTGCAAAGTTGAGCTAAGAATAAATCGTGCTATTAATAAGTCTCACAAATTTAAAGCGTTGCCTATAAAAGAAGATTAATATCAATAAAATAAAATTTATGGTGGAAGATTAATGATTAATTCTCTTTTGTTCAATATATGCACTTTTAAAATATTAAAAAAAAACATTTAAATTTTGCAAAAATATAATATTTTTATCAAAAAAAGATTTTTATTTCATCATTATTTCTATCAATCTTTTTGGCTTATATTTAAAGAATCAAACCGATCAAGAACCACTGCTTTACGCTTCTCGATATTCTTTTAATTACCAACATTAATGTGTTTTTTGCAAATAATTAATGCAGTGTTCGGCATGACGCAGTGAAATTCTGTTTTTATATTCGTCATTCAGCAAATTATGCCATTAACTACAACTGCTTTGCGAATATAAGCATTTATTTAACCAGTTTGCCATTCAACCTCCGCTTAAAGTATACGTTAATAAAATATTACGAAATGATTGATCACTTACACAAAATTGAACGTATACGGAAACATTTTCTTTTCACGTTGGTTATGTCATCAAGAATATACGTAAAACGAAAAACACAATAATGAAGAAAAAATAACAGTAATGAAATAGAAACTAAAATAGAACAGAAAAATAGCTTTATAGCTTATTAATATTAAGAAAATAGATACCCATTTAATTGCCGAATTTATATTGAATTTATATTGAAATATCGCATACTGAGGAATGCACACAGAGATAAATCTCTTTATCGATCATTATATGATTCGTACTACAATATCTGCATGTACATTCGCTTATGAGTTATGATTGTCGCATTGCATCGCGATGATATATGGAACAATGATATCTGTCGTTAGAAATAGATATAGATGTCCAAAGTTGGTAACGTGTATTTAAATGAGGGACTCGCTTTTACGTCACGACGACGTATGAAACTGTAGTTCGACATGCTTTTATATATATCCAAATTAGAGAAAGAGCTGAGTTTAAAGAGATAGATGTACGCTTATTTCTAGAATAGATACATTCTCTTAACATTACATTGTAAGGTACATTCGCTTTGCGGTCTGCATTGGTCTTGCATAGTCATTATGTGTCCGGCTTTAACATAAACAGTTTCTGTAAATATGTATTTGCACCGTCCAGAAATCCGAATGAAACTGCAATAATATATGCTATATGCTTAATCATGCAATAACGACGATTGTTAGAAATTAATTAACTTTGAATATTTTTTTTTATGAATATAATTATTATGTATTTTTATTCTGACTCTGAAAATATTCTGTCAGCTATTTGAATATTTATTATTCAGATTTAGTAAATAAGTTTGAAACGGGCGGGTATAGAACATATTTTCAAAATATGTTATTTTAATTAATGGATTGATTCATCATATTTATGAAAATTTCTAATAAATTTATTCTTCTACAATTATGATTAATTGCTATTAAGCATTGCTGATAACAAAGTTGTACTTATTTAAAAATTATAATGTAATGTATATATATGCGTGCGTGCGTGCATGCGTGTGTGCGTGCGTGCGTGCGTGCGTGTGTGTGTGTGTGTGTGTGTGTGTGTGTGTGTGTGCGTGCGTGTGTGTATGTGTGTGTTAAATTTTAATTATTTTTAATGGAAACAAATCAATAATAAGTTCATCCAGTTAAAATTAACGCGTAAAAAGCGCGTAGGAGTTTGCGTTTAAATAAAATGTAAGATATGAATGTAAAATGTAGTGTGTAGAAAAAAATTCGGATAAAAGATACGTAGATACGTGAAGAAAACGTGGACACGTGGAAGTTTAAGTTTACATATACGCGACATACAATCGTCGTGTGTCCCAGCCGGCAATGCTCTCGCTTCTGGCTCTATCGATTTAGGACGACTCTACGTAACCGCGACAACGAGTCGGCTCGTATACACACGGTTTCCTCTTCCGCGTATGCCTTTCATTACATAATCGTAAAAAAATCTTAATATTTACAATGTCTCTACAATGTCGTCAATGTCTAATTATTGCCCTTGCGAACTTCAATCACGCTCTATCCTCGTGTTATTTTGCTTTACACCTACTAGCTATTTCAAGCATATAGTTTGATATTACATATAGTTGAAGATAAATTGATTATATTAATAAGAAGATTAGTCAATTAAGAAATCATCTTTTTTTAACGGTATATAAATATTGAATGACTGGTTAAATAATTATTAATCATTCATATCATCTTTTGCATTTTACCGATTGTTTATCGATTGTCATTTTGTAGATAGTCTATAATGAGATTTAATCAACTACAGCTTCGTGCATGGTCAATTCTTATTATAGTTCATTATGGAGTTACACGTGCAATTCTGTGCGGACTTCAGCACGATGTGATGAGACACACGCTAAGGAAGATGGCACAAAAGTACGCGAAAGTGTCCTTGACGCGCTTATCGATTTTCTTGAGGATTTTATTTGGTTGAAAAGCAGAAACACGTTTTCAGAAAATTCACTTCCTCAATATCGCCAGTTGTTGGATTTAAACTATTTTTCATAATGGTACCAATACGTGTACCGTTACGTAGCTGTATGACATTATTAGTATTATACGTCATTAGCATATATCAGTAATGTTTTAAAAAATAAAATAGCCGTAATATAATTTTTTCTTTCTTGAATTTTAAATTGACCGTCTCTAAAAGTTTAAATCGAATTTTTATTAGACATCCACTTAACATTTTATATCTTATAAAATAAATTTCAGAGAGGAATCATAATACGTTATCAGTTTAATTTAATGTTTAATCATTATTAAGAATTCGATGTTTTAAATTAAAAAACTGTAAACTGTAAAATAAAAATGATAACATTTTTAAGATATAAGATTTAAATTTATCCTCAAAATATATTGTGATTAGTGATAAAGTGTCTTTTTTTATTCTCAAATTATAATATTGCTTTTAATAGAATGTTTTCGCTTTTAATCCACGAATATAAATCTCATAAATAGATAATCCAATTACATTTTCAAGGAGAAGCTTGAGACGTATAATCATCTTCAATTTTGATTGCGTGCTGCGAAGCTTGGCTCAAAACTTATGTTTCAAACTTTCTACATATAAACGGTTATGCGAGCATCCATAATATATATAATCTTCCTTGGATAATAACGAAGAGTTGAACTAGAGATATGTGGTGCCTATGCAAATGATATTGTGGTAACAAAGTCAATGAGATGTAATTGACTGATTCAGGATACACATATCCTCAGATCTGGACGAAGATCGAGTAATGCGAAACCGAGTGGAATTACGTCAGTTTCTCTGATTCGTAATTCGTCGCTACTTCATAATAATGTTGCGTAATCGAGCCTACAATGTTTATCAAGCAGATTATATCTCCGAGTATAGATATATAGGGAAGAATGAAATTCCTGCAAGGCGATGATGGAAGTATAATTACGTGCTTAAGCGAAGTAATTATGTCAATGGAACGGCTCTCTCTCTCTTTCTCTCTTAAATAAATGTGTTACAAAAAAATAAATGTGATTGTTTAAAAGAAATAACAAAAATATAAGTTTCTTCGTTTTTAATTAAAGAATGAACGTATTATCGCATTTGTCAAATACAAATTAAAGAAAATTACAAATTTATCAAATTTATCATTACAAATTGAAGAAATCATTAAGAAATTGCCTGCACTGGTTTGCAATAGATCCATCTTTTTTATTATTAATGGATGAATGTTATTGATGCAAAAGCATTGCGATGCTAGGATGTGACGTCAAAATCGAATACTGTCTCAGGCAATACCGATCGAATACTATTCTTCAATTATGAATGAATTACGTCATGTTGCCTGTTGCCGAGGTAAATGTCAAACCAAGATGAATCCATTTGGTGAATAAAAGCTAACTAGATTTTTGTACACATTCAGAAATGCATCGTTTGAATTAGAAAATCTCTTTATGTAAAAGTGTAAAAGGAATGAAGCATCAAAATCATTTTAATTCAATTCTAAATCTGTTTTAACGAAGAATATATATCCGAAAAATTGGATGATTAGGAACAATGGCGAGTAGAATGTGAAAAGATAAGTATTTCATTGGTGAACTTTGATGATCTTTTTTTAGCAAAAATTTAATGACCATTTATCGCATTTCTTTAATTATAAGCATATTTGTACTATGTGCCTTTTAAAAATATATTGATTCATTAATATTCCATATATTTTCGCAAAATACGGATAATTTTCGGATAATAATTTAATAACAGATTTTATATTTATGAAATATCACATAAAGTGATATTTATTCTTAATATGTATTAATATATTATATTTTTAATGTTTTACATTTTAATTTAAATATTCTTTGCAAAGAAAAGCTTCTTTACAAAGAAAAGATAGCATAATCTTCTATTAATTATTAATTATTATTAAAATTGATTTAAACAAAATAGAAATTGTTTCAATATTTTAACATTAATTATGCACTTAATAAAATTATGCACTTAAAAATTTTTTTAATTTTTATAAAATTTAAAGAAATATGTAATATATGGTAAATTAAATTTAACTAAAATTGATTACCATTAAATTTAATTTTAATAGAAATTTAACTTGAAATTTAATGATTAAAGTAATTAGATATTATACTGCAATCAATTGATCATATACTCATTAAAACATATTTATGAAAGAAGTAGTCTATATATAAGCTCATTATGAATTATTATAGTTCTCATCATTTTCGTTAGATTAATTAATTAAAAAGTTAATTAACAAAGATATAGTAATCTATTAATGAAGCCTCACAATAAGAAGTAAATGCAAAATTTTCTATATAATTTAGCATATTTTGATATAAATACAAGTTAAGAAAATAGAATTCTTTTTAATAAAAGGCTCTGTTCTCGAAAAAAAATAGTAATGTATGTTCTAATAAGACGCACATTTTCAACTAACGTATCAACTTCATATAATAACCGAGACAGAATCAATTCATTATGTTTTAATTATTGTTATATAATGTAAATAAGTAATTGTATAAAATAATAAAATAATAAATATTATAAAATTAATATGTATATAATAGAAATAAAGTAAAGAAATATGTAAATAATATAACATATTTTATGATTTAAATTTTTAATGATTTATTTTGTGTTTATTCCTTTCTTTTAATAAGTGATGAATATATCATACATTATACAACTTCTAAAACAATTATTTTTGCATATTGCATTATGCAGTGATAGCAGAAAATAAAAAGTATGAAACCTCTGCCTTATTCTAAAAGTCACTTCAAACAGCTTTCTGTTTCTATGAAACTTTAATTTCACCTTTTATTTTATTTACTTTTTATTAATTTGCTATTATAATTGTGTCTTGTTACGTGTAAAAAATAAAAAGGAGACCGAGTATAAAATTCAGAATAAACAATCTTTTTGTGGAATAATTTATAAATGAACTTTAAATGATCCGTTGGATACATTTGCTCTCATTTATATGCATATAAATTTACAAACATCTTAATATCTTTAACATAAAAAGATTAATATTATTTTTATTTATATGAAAGAAAGAAGTATTAATAAAACAAAATACAACAATACACAAATTAGTTTTTAACAAAATATAAGAAAACAAAATTAATAAAATATTTGAACATGACAACATGTTCAATATTTATTATAACATTTATTATGACATTTCTTAGAAAATGAATAAATTGATTTTGTGTTGATCCATCCATAGTTTTTAAATTATTAAAAGTTTATTTAAGTCATTAAAAAATATTTTAAATCTTTATGCAAAAAGCAGAAAAATATTTTTAATCAATGTTCACATTTAATGTGAACTCAACAAAAGATGCAAAAATTTATATATAATTTATTTCATTATTTTATCATATTATATAGTATTTATAGTATTTATTTTATTAAAAAAGTAGAGTTTCGTTTCTCTTGTCCTTTTTAGAAAAACCAGCAGTAATACCATTACTTTATTATTTAAAAGTTTTATACAAATCAGAAAAATTGCAAAAAAAATTTTCTCGTTATTTTTAATGATTTCGAAGAAAATTTTTATAACACTTTATATAATACATCCTATTTAGTATAGTAATTAATTTATGAAAAAAAGGAAAACTATATGAAGCTGAATATTAATATTAATTTTGAAACATTTTACTCGCGCGTTATATTTTCTTAATTTTGGAAAAATTCTCATGTTAAGCAAGTATATCGTAAAGAAAAATCTTATTTGGAATTATTATTTACACGGATACTATATAAAAATTAAAATGATCATAAATGGCAGCGATAGAAAGAAATAAAAATCTAAGTTTATTGAAATGGATATTTAAAACACAATCTGATATCTGTATATGGAAATTTATTAAAATGATTAAAAAATTAGGAATTTTATCTATATGTTTCCAATTTTTATTTACAACAGCATGAAGTTGATTTTACATACGTTCATGTAATTTAACTTAATATATCGTTAGGGAACTAGATAGTATAATCAGAATTAGTCGCTGAACAAGACTATAGAGCTATTGGTGCAACAGACTTGTAAACAAATGCGACTCTCGCAATTAATGTCTCATGCACACGTGGACGTCGATCCTCCTTCTATTCATGCTAGAGCGTAATCAAGAGCGATGCAACACGCGTGCGGAAACTTCTTCAAATTATGATCTGTTACTTACTCGTTATATCAGACGTAAATAGCAATTTTCCATAGAAGCCTCTTCCCTCTTTTGTGTTTTTCCTGTCTAATTGCGCTGTGAGATCCTTTTCAGTAGCGGAAGGATGTTCTTCGCCGAAGATAAGTTGGAAATAGTCAACGAGAGTGGTTGATTCTTCCTTTTTTCTTACAATTGAAAACGTGGCGCGTCTACAATGATGCAAACCAATTGAGTTGCGTACTGATCGTCGTCGGAGCGGGAGTTTTCGTAACATCGTATTTAACCAGAAAATTTCTCTTCTATGTACGCATGATTATCAACTTCCTTTGCCTTCTTTAAGTACTCTTTGCGATATTTTCTACGAATTCGAAGGCAAGATCAAGATGGAAATCAAGATGACGATCAACCATCGCGCGACGCTCCACCCGCGTTGCTTGGTCGACTGGTTTGACTGGACTACTTCCCCGTACACTGTGGGAGATTTTATTCCATCCCCACCAGAATCTACTAGCTCCCCCCCTTTCTAATCAACCCCACTCGTAACACCCACTCGCGATCCGACGTAGGTGCTCGAGGGTGCGTGAACGTTGAGGGTGAACGCAAGCCTAGTCGTTGATCATGTAATTGATAGTTGACCGTATCATCCAAAGATCAATTAAAGGTCTGTTCCTCATGACAAAAATAATTGTTTAAAAAGAGCAATGTTGACTTAACATTATTAACGTGTTATTGACAGCCGATCCTGTCACCCGGATAATTAAAGAGTTTTTTGTTAAAGTACAATTATTTTACGGTACAATGATTTTGTCTTAAATTCATGATCATGTTATAAGAGTCTAGGGTCATATAACATACCTCGGAGATTATAAAAAGTTATATATAAGATTGATTAGGGTAGAATCATTCACATTTATATCCAACAAGTATATTTTGATAAAAATAATTACAACGTTTACGCACATACGTACTTGATTTATTTAATGGTGACTTCATTAAAATAATCATTTTAGAAGTCAACTGAAAAAAGAATGTGTGTGTGTGTGTGTGTGTGTGTGTGTGTGTGTGTGTGTGTGTGTGTGTGTGTGTGTGTGTGTGTGTGTGTGTGTGTGTCGTGTGTGCCTTACAATATCTTTATAGTGGACAGTTTTAAGCTTTAAATGAACTAGCTTCAATTGAACTAACCATTTCATGTAACTAATATGCTCAATTTAAAACATTTAGATACATTTATTTATAAGTAGATTCTATCTATAAGGATATAAGAGGATTTATTCTCTAATTTCTCTAATTTAATTCAAAGCTAAGAGATACAATATGCCAATATTTTTAAATAAAAAATTTTAAAACATTTTTGAATTTATGAATATATATAAATCCTAAAAAATAAAAAAATTGTTAGATTGATTAGATTTAAATAAGATGCAGCCTGATCAGTAAACATTTAAATTTTTGTGTCTTTCAAAAGTTTTCATCTTTATCACAAAAATTAAAATTAAAATTTCTTTTATTAATTAATTAAAATTTCTTTTATTAATTAATGAAATTTTGTTTGCTTTTAATTTATTTATGAACAAATAAATATTTTTTTCGTTTCTTTAATAACAGAATTAATTATTTTATACAATATACAATAATCAAATTGTATTTTGATAAACCGTTTACCTTTTTGATTACGACTTTTTTAATTCAAACTTTATGCAATTTGAATTATTCCATTTTCAAGATTAAGATCGATATGATTCTATTATAAATTTTGGAATATTATCTTTGTGAAAATATATAATTAAAATTTCCTCATACATCAATTACTTACATGTAATATAAAAAAATTTCCCGTGCTTGCGAACAAATTTTCAAGTTTATGTTCAAGGTTACAGATAAGCGTACTTACGTCATCATATACATCGATTCGCGAGCGTTCGTTGACCTATCTAATTCTGGCCGTGAGTTTATCATCGTTGCTTTCGTGAGTAGACAGTTGCTATATAAACCACTCAAATACACGAATAAAAAGACTTTGCCTAACATCTTGCAAATAAATTCTTCACGGCTGTTATTAATGTATCGATAATACTTTCAATGATTGTCTTGTCAATTCCATTCTCAAAGTTGAAACCTCGTCACGATTGACCGGACATAGTCAACCATAGTCTATTTATAATCTACGTCATTTCTCTTTCTCGGATATAATCTATCGATCGTCATTTCAGGCGGTTAAAAGCTTACGATATCGGCGGAAGTAGTAATATATCTATCCAATCTATCATGCCCCGTGATTTTTTTGCCGTGACATTCTCTTTCTGATACTAATTAAAAAGTTCCGCTACCCGCACTAACGATCCGTCGTATTTTAATCGAACTCAATTTAGAAAGCTTCATTTGCGCACAATATCGGTCAATGCAGCTGCACATGCTCTCTCTTTTGCAATTGTGATAATAGTAATCATTGTAACAATATATTCAATAATGACAATTTTATTTATTGATAATTATGTAATTTTTAGCTATTAGAAAAGCTTCTAACAAAGAAAACAATTGATTTTAATAGATTAAATCTCTCATCGAGTCCAAAATTAAGAATTATGCTTTTATATATAGGAATTAATTTATTAATTTATTAATTTTTTTTAATTGCTTCTTATTGATATTTTTAATAAATTGTTATAGATTATGAAAATACATATATTATTTTTTAAGGCAATGATCGGTGTTCAGTTTTTATATTCTTATATTTATTATCTTAAATACATACTTCAAGATCTCTACTATAAGATCTCAAACTAGTCATAGAATAATATTAGTATTTAAGACATTATTTAAAATGATCTTGAAATAAAAATAGACTATGATATCCCGTCCTGCTTATATGTTATTATTAATGCTAATCGGCAATCTAGGCAAATCATTTTATTATTGATAATGAAATGCAGATGACTATTCAGACAATAAAAACTTGTTTCAAACAAATATTAGTCTTAGTAAGAATTATGTTAAAATTCATAATTATCTTGCATTTTTTAACTGCAAGTCTTACGAAGACCTTTGAATTATGTAAATTATTTTCCAAGTATTTCAACATCCAGTCTATAGTTATGACGTATATAATTACGCAATGACCTAATAAATTGTGAAGTATTATAAACATAAACAACGTTGAACGATCAGGGTAGAAGATAATTAAGATTTATACAGATATTAGTAATATTATGAAGTTGCAAACTTTTTTCAAAATAATTAATTTTCAATTATATCAGCTTAATTGATGATTTAATTCAGTTTGATGTACTATATTGCTCGAAATACTTTGGAATATTTGAATATAAAAAGTTCATATAATTTACACTCATATATTAACGAGTCAATAGAAACGTGACACAGCAGACTGTTGACATACAGAATTAATCTATAAATGATATACGGTGTTACAAACTGCGTCGCTACAATCTCATCGATCACAGCTGCTTATACAGGTATACTAGGTGCTTGTACATAAGCTCATATGGGTGCAGCGTATTATTGCCAATTTATCAAGTGCTATTCCTCTTTTGTATTGAACTAGACAGTAAACAGATTTAATTTTAGTCGAGAATGACGAATAGCTATTGACCGAATAAAATAGATTAAGTTTGAATTTGATTGAAAGAACATTCTACTCTTATTTTCAATTTATCCTCGATTTTTAATATAAAAATTTAAAAAGGTTGTCAAATTTAAATTTATCTTTCTTATTTTTTTTAAGAAATTGAAGAAATAATAAATTTAAAGCAACACTAAACACATATATAAAATCCGAAATTGAAATTGAAATTAAAAAGTGATGAATAAATAATTTAAAGTAACAATAAAACACATATATAAAATTTCATGTATAGTCACTGTACATATAATAGAAACTTTAAAAATTCTATTTTTAGTAATCAAGAGACGCATTAGCGGCTTGCGTCAAGTCTGCGCGCAACGAAGTTCGCGCAGAATTACGTCGAGACAGCCGTAATTCTATTTATGCAAAGTGAGATGAACCCTTTCATATTTTTCTCTTCTCAATTAACGGTTAAATTGATTGAGTTCTAACCTCAATCAATAGCTTGGATTTATATTTCATAAAAAAAAAATTGGATTTTATATCGATCATATGTTACCAATTATCAAACATTTCAAATATGCGATTTGCACCGTTTTCTCGACGGTACCAATCACACAAATCAGTTATCGGTTTTAATAAACTTCGTCTCTAGAGATGTCGGTATCGTTCATGTAACAGGCAATATTTCAGCATGGTCGGATTACAGACAGCGTCAAGAGAAGTAGACCGTAAACGAAGACTACCGATCGTTGAGCACCATTGATTATCGTCAGACGAGAAATCGAATCTTTTCCTCGGTAGAAATGAAATTTCTCGTAGCGACTTTCTTTTCACACAGCGCCCAATTACTTTTGTGAAAATTTGCAGGATATTTTGCATAGATTGTCTATTGTTATTATCGATTGTTTACATATTATCGGTCTATTATAATGAATTGTTTAATTTTGATATTACTACATTTTACATTTATTTTAATTTTTTCAATCTGTTTTATTATCATATGGATATAGATGTACATAAAAAAATAATAAAAATACATCATAATATATCATAAATACATATATACAAAAATGTGACATTGCATTTGGATTATTGACCCAGCAAACACGAAGTTACATGTAATATAAATGTTAGTTGTAATTTCCCGCTCAACAATGTAACTGTTATATATAACGCGTGTGTTATATAACATTTATATTACATATAACTTAGTGTTTGCTGGGAATTTACTTAATCTGTTCGCATTTCTCAAATTTAATTTCTGTCAAGATATTTTATTAATAATTTCTTGTAGAGAGAAATAGAACCAGAATAGAATCAGAAGAAATACTATGTGTGTTCTTTGCTCTTTAATATTACTGATTACTCTTTAATATTTTAATCAAATGATTAAAAAAGAGATAATAAATCTGCAACGATCATGAATGATAAATAACTTACTTGATAAACCTAAAATTTTTTCAAAAATTGCTCAATAAATATTATTTCACATATGGAAACGCAATTTTTGCTCTTTGATTATTTACATTGATTGTATCTGAATAAACAATATTTCGTCCTACTTTCTTCTGTAAGAAGTCGGATAATCTGTAAGAAGGCTTCCGGTAGAGACTATAGCTCCCGGTCCACCAAGAATACCGCCTTTGTTGGCAAACCAGCCATTACCGCCGAGAAAACCAGCCGGTTCCAACCGATTTGTGTAGAAACCAGAATCAGTCGGAGCTAAGAAGTGCACCAGGGTGCTAGGCCCAACTAACTGTTTTGCTGTTGCGTTTTGTAATATAGTTATGCCTAAATTATTCAGTGTTTCTCTCAGTAGAAGCAGGCGATCTTGTAGAAATGATTGTGGCGAGAACTGGACTTTCTGTGCCAGTGGCATCAGAAACCAAGAGAATGGACCTGGTTTTGTCGTTGAGTTCTCCTTAAATTTGTTGAAAAGATTAATTGTATTTTATATTCATCACATTTCAATCAAATCACAATTTTATGATATCTTATAATGCAAAAGAAAATTACAGTTAGAGTTTTATCAGTATTAGAATATTTTTTCTCTTTGAAAATTAATCAGTTCGAGAAGATGAGTATTCGAAAGATACATAAGAGATGTAACATATATAATAAATAATATAAAAGAAAAATTTTTCAACACAAAAATTAATATAAGATTTATTATTAATTTAATTTATTATAACTTTAACTAGATAATGACAAAAATGAATTAAATAATAATTTAATCTTAATTATTAAACATATTATTAATTAATAAATGGAAAATTGATTTTAATTAGTTAATGATCAAAGCAACAATAAATAATTTTTACTAGAGAAAAGAAAAGAATTGTCGAATTATTGAAATAAATTGGCGATAAATAATATATTTTACGATTATAATTCATTAGCGGAATGGAACTATAGGACTATTGATTGTTTTACCAAAGATATCAGTAATCTATATTTTTGACTTTAATTATAAATTTTAATCAACAAAGAAACGCTTACAGACTGTACGGTCGTATCGATCATATCAGCTGCCGAGCTTGAAGTATCAATTTGTGCGTTCGCTTTTATTGATGCCTCATCAGTGGATAAAGCAGAACTTCGTCGCTGTTTCTTCAAATCAAATAGATTTTTTTGCAAATTCGCATTACTACGATCGACTTCGTTGGTAAATTCATCAAATGGTGAATTCAGAGGTTTCATTTGCACTACTGTAACCTTAAAAAATTTTTATTTACTTTGATTACGCGCGCATTTTTAAAAAATTATCTAATTTATATTAATAATAAATATAATGTTTTCATATTTGATTAATAATCTTATAAATTTCAAGCACGTCCCTATTAAGAAACATTGTGACAAAAAATATATAAATAAAACGATTTGCGAATGATAACAAAACTTTCCAAATATGCAAATCTAAAAGATATATCTTAAAAACGTCTTATAATTTTATCTTTCAGATTTTCTGGAAGAAAAAAAGTCGCTTCGCTTCGCTCGTTTGATCGTTCCATTATAAGAGTCTTATTCTCGAGATTAAGAAAATCGAAAATATTTATACAGATTTACAGTACTCTATTCTCAATTTTCTAAATGTAACTAAATACTTGTATTTAAGTTATCAAGATATCTTATTGTTGCATCTTCTTACTGTTTTCGCGCATTTATTCCTCCAGATTTTCCATACGCACAGCGGAACACTTTCGCGGAAAGAATAATACATTTCGATTTAAGAAAGCAAAGGAACTTTATTATAATTAAATACAGGGAAGAACACAACTCAAAACCGTAGCAGAACTTCACAATTTAAATATTAATTATTAAAAATTTTTGTAATATCATTATTATGCTTAAATATTCACATAATTATTTTCAGACTTATATATAGTTAAATTTTAGACATTTTAGCAAAATTATTCTACAAAAAAAAAATAAAATTATGCTGCCAAGTTTTAGAAATGAATTACTGAGAGTTTATAGATCTTACCGTCGCAAATAATAGCCACATGAATCTCATCACTTTTGCCATTATTAGATCAAATATGTGATAAAGAAATTCTGAAACAGACAGTATGTAACTTATTCCTTCTATGTAACTTATTCGTGTGATATGAAGTATACTAGTTGAACTCACAAGCAATACATCATATATGTATACTTAATGTCGTTTATATATGCCGTTTCACGCACAGTTACATAATAAGCAAAATGTAATCGCATAAGGGTACCCACATGTGCATATTATGGTGACAGTCGCAATCACGAAATATATTTTGTTGAGAAACAAACGCACCGCAAAGAGAAAATTCCCGTTACTGCGCTAGAACACAATTCCAGTTTCAATAAAAATAATTATTTTATACGCTTAATTATTCGTCAAATATTGAACAAAACTTGAGTATTCAATAAGGAAGTCCACATAAAGTTTAACAGTCTTAATGTCTCGAAAACTGCGCAATTAAAAAATCGTTTGATTTCAAATTTTATAAATTTTAAGATCTATTAATTAATTAATTTTAATTTATGTAGAAAACTATTACTCTCTCATTTCTTCTAAAGGAATACTGAAAATATTTTAAAATTTCAAATGAGAATCTACGTATGATAATTATTTCTGTAATCTACATTAAAAAACAAGCAATTTTTATTTGAAATATCTTGTCTTAAAATCATTTCTTCAAACGAATTTTTCAAGTGTCTAAAATTTGGATGGAAATAATTTGATTAATTCAACATTATATAAAGATAAAGATAAAAATAAAATGCAAAATAGGGTCATGTAATTTAATTTAATTAAATAATGCAATAATTAAATCAAAATGTTTATTATTTATATGCAACTTTATTTATTCATTTATATATTTTTATTTATTTCAAGAATAAAATTATTTATAACATGAGACATTACTACTAACGCATATTTCGCATTTATTCATTTAATGTCATTTTTCATAGTTAGTTGTTCAAATATTTCTTTTTTACATGTTCCTTTTTAAATACTCCTGAAATAAATAAACCTAATGTGAATTTTCCGACTCAATGAAAATTGTGTTTGGTCATTAACGCAATATTTGTGACATTAATTTCATCGAAAAGAGAATTTAGATAAAAATTATTTTTTATTGTAATATACATCTAAAATAAGAAAAATAACAATAAAATAACAATAAAATAATAAAATACTATGTAAAGTTTATAATTTGAGTTCCAAAAATTTTTGAATTAAAATGAAATGGATGATATTCCAGTAAACAAGTATGCTAAATATCATTCTACGATAAGCCATAAGTTAGAAAATAAGAATTGATCGAGTATTCTTATTATATTCAATCTGTAATTGGTCAATTCTTAGGCTGATGGCAGAGAATAAGCGCTTACGTCTCGTTCTCTGCCATCAGCCTTGGTTTCTTATCTATTATTAATAGCTTATTGTAGAAAGAAAAAAAGTCTATAAAAGACTTTCAAAAGATATTTTAAAACAAACATTTTTAAGATGACTTTTAATAATGTCTTTAAGATATTCTTTTTTAAGATGTCTTTTAAATGCTTTTATTATAATTTCTTTAAGATATTATTAAAAAGATATTTTTAAGGTGTTTTTTACGGAATTGTCGATAATGTCAATGTCAGTTACTTGCTGCTTTATTAAGCGTGATCTACAATGAACAGTAGCAGTAATGAATGAATCGTAAGCCGTAAGAAATTGATCAATCACAGTCGAGTGTGAGGCGAATTGTCAACTGTGATTGATCAATTTCTTACGGCTTACGACTCCTCCACTACTGCTACTGCCCATTGTAGATCACGCTTTAGATTTCTTTCCGGTGGACAATACTCTGCACAACTGCGCACTTTTTGATATCACGTACGACTTTGAGATAATATTTGTTTTCTTAAGAAAACCTTATATAAAACACTAAACATAATTAAAAATGTCCTTAAATATATTTTTTCTTCTATATTTTGTATTTCATAAGAAAATAGTATTTATAAAGTTTGAGGTTATGCCTGTAAAATTCATATGGAAAAAAATATAATTAATGTTCCAACTATTATTTATGCAAAACTTAAGTTGCAGCTTTGTCATACAAAAAGTTGCTAGAGTAAATGTATTTTGCAAACTGCAAATAAGT